TCCCAGCAGTGAGCAAGTGGAGAACACAGGTTCCAGGATCTGCCCCAGGTCTTTCCTGCTCTGAGGGGTCCTGGCTATTCACAGTATACAAGGGAAATGAATTACAACATTTCTTTTTCACTTTTGCCAGTTACATCATTGACATGGCCATGCTGATACAGATAAGAGGTTTTCTCCTTCTCCAAACTGTATCTCAGATGCAGCACCTAGTGTTAAAAAGCAAGTGTAACAGTTTCCAACAGGACCAACTGAGCAGCAAATGAATCCCAAACACTAAATAAGCTCAGAACAGCATTTACGTAGGCAAAGTTGAGCATAAACTTAAATCACCATGCAGCCTCAGCTCACACAGAAAGATGGAGCTTGACTCCACAAAAATGGAAGGTATGGAAATAGTCTGATGTGTTTAACTGGTCTTAAGCTTCAGTAGTAAACTCCAGACAGAAGCACATGGGATCTTGTTCATCCGTGCTTCACAAATACATTTGTAAAAGGTAAAGCTCCTGCTGTTCCGGTAAGAAGCACTGACAGCTCCCCAGCAGCCTGCAAACGCTTTTAAAAGCCTCTAATCTCAGTAATCCAAGTCTGGTGACTCCTTACATCTGCATGTAGCAAAGCCTTCTACAGTCATAGGCAAACCTTAGACTTACTAACTGCAGACGCTGTCAGCATTATGTAGTGACTACAGGATGCTGTCTTACCAACAGAACACACTGCCACCGTTTTCAACACACCACAGCGCAACAAGTCATTAAAAGAGAACAAAATGGATGTTACTTTTTCCAAATGACAGAAACTTGAGCACTGTGGGGAGAACAAAGAAAGAAGGGAAAGCAAAGCAAGGATTTCTGCTACAAGAGCAGTACCAACCCCAAGGGTAGAGATCGATGAGAGGGCAATGATGGAGCCTTGAGGCACCAGGCACAGCCTTGATACCGAGTGTGTGGTGGCAGCAGAACACAGGCAGACAGCTACTGTGAGCAGAAACAGGCTGCACCACAGCAGCATAGGGACCAGCAGATCAACTGGTGACAGAAGACATGAATCAGAAAAACGAGAATTAGATCATTTGACTACAATTATGCTGGTTTTGTCACTATTAAATCACAACTTTTCCGTTACGTATGTTGTGGGGTTTTGTCTTTGTAACTTGTATAGCCCATATGTTCACAACAGATGGATCAGTGCTGCAGCTCACTGGTATTTTTCTAATTATAGTTGGGATTTATGAAATTCTTAAAGAATTTCCAAGGAAATACTCCCTGCTGAGGCCAGGTGAGTCTGAGCATCTTCACTGTCATCAGCAAACACTAAAATCAATGACGTGAAATTGATGAAGGCAAACTTATTTAAGAGATAAGATCACAAGGAGCTGAAGGAGACAAATGCACAAAGTCTTGAGAAAGTGAATATGAAACAAATTAAAAGAAATCAAGTGAAGGTTTGCTCATCTAATTGCATCTTCAATTTAATGCTTTTAAACAGCAGGCCATCTTTATCCTGCAATTTTACATGTGTACAAGTGTACAGCCAGAACCAGTACTGCCTCCACTTAAGTGCACACTTAAACGTATCAAATCTCTGAAGTAAAACATAGCTTACGTAATGTGAGATTTTGGCCTTTAGCTGACATAGAAAAGACTGATGTGTCCGAGGGCACTCTAGCCCACTTACGACTATGCACAGTCCAGGAAAAACACAGTCAGGTTTTTCTTTTTAGGGAGTGATCTAAAAGAAAACCAAGTTAGATTTTAAGAAATACACCAAATGAGAACAGAAACATTTGTATAACAGAACTCCAAGCCCTACCAACAAATGCTGTGGCATTCCCAAACTGTTTATTTGGAATCTACCTGCAAGTGTATCCACAGCTTTCAGAACATGCATCAGGAAACAATTCCCAGCTAGAGCAAAGGAATGGGAGGGCTCAGGTTAAGGAAGGTGAGGTATGACATCCCAAAGCAGTACACGTGCTCTGGGGTCATGCAAGAGATGAGGTGTGTTATTCCCTAGCTCCCCTCAGCCCTGTACTCCCACACCGCATGCACACCAGAGACACAAGTACCAAAAGTGACCACTGCTGGAACTGCTGCTTGCCTCCCTCTTGCTCACATCCTACGAGGACACTGCTGCTGTCACTTTCTGTAACAGCAGTTTGTGAGCAAGCACGCTACATTTTATACCACCAGCATATCAGATTTTCCATTCTCATGTTCCAAAGATTTGAGAGATCCATTCCTCTCCAGGTACCTCAGAGGCTTTAGAAACTCTAGATCCTTACCCTACCAAAAGCCTATGTTATAGCACAGGCTGCATGCTCCAGATGCAATCCAGAGATGGCTGGTCCAGCAGTCTTACTGCTTGTCCCCTTTTCTTCCTGCTGCATCCATCAGTTCGATACCGCAAAGGAAAACCCTCTTGGGCAAAACCTAAACGTGAGGTCCGCTTGAGCACACTATAAATGCTGTACAAAGCTTCTCCACCAGCCTGAAATGCCCCAATTAGAAAAAGATGCATTTCCCTGAACTGTGAAGGAAAGAAAAAAAAGCAAGGGAGCATTTCCTTGGCTAGGTCCCTTTAGACCCATAGTATACAACAGTATTTTCTGCCAAAAGCATGGTGCAATATGCAAATACTAAAAAAGCAGCTGGAAATTCACTAAACTCTACAGGGGAAACTGGTCACAAAGGTTCTTGGATAGTTTAGACCCCAAAGAAGGCCTTTCCTTACATGCATTTCATTTACTTCTTTCAGACTCCAGTCCCTTCCCTTAAATGGAGGCGAGCAAGCCTGAACAGCCCCTTTTCCTCCAGTCACAGAGCACAGCACCTGAGGACACAGCAAAAAGCAACCAGAACCACTCACATCCCCCTCAGAGATGACAGCTTGGTCAAGTAGCAGATCCAGAGAAAACACCTCTCAATAGGAAGTCCAGCTGCTGCTTCTCAATAATCAAAGCTCTTTATCAACCAAAAAATGACTCCCAAATTTGTTACCACACATAGCAGATGTTGTAGCAGAATGCAGTTGTAGCAGCCTAATGGTTCTCATTTTCCAGTCCCTCCTGCCAAGTGATCCAATCCATCCAGGCCAGTGGCACATCCCTACCCAGAAACAAATTTTGAGCATGGGCTGCCAATACATCTGTATTTATTTATAAGCTGTATAATGTCCTACTGAATACATTAGGTACCTTATAAAACAAACAAAAATGGAAATGAAAAAGGGAAAGATAAAAACATTATTTCAAAAATGTTTTACTTATTAATGGTACAAAAAATACTTTCTTCCCACACTCCAGTGGATTGCCTTTGGCTACTTCACTCTGGAGACCCCTGATCTAGCTGAAGGCAGATATGAAGCTTGCTTCATAAACTTTGGTTGCTGGATTTGGGTACAAACTCAGAAAACTATCAACATTCCCCAAAATTCTCCCAAAACACAGATCATGATTTCACTCACAGCAAGCAAACAAGCCTGGAGCTATTAAGAGGCCTCTTAATGGCTCGATCAGCATGTCTCAATTGCAAAGTTAACCCATCTAAGGGGAGCCCATGCTTTTCCTGACAACTTTATTACTATTTCTGATCTTTTAACTGTTGGTGAGAAACAAAAGTCTCAGATGCAGCTGTAGGCAGACTCCTTCAGTGCTTCTCCCAAGAGATAACTTCACTCACTGCCTTAGAATGCTAGTGCAATGTATGCTAACATTTTGTAATTATCATGTATGAATGCAAGATATGCTAATTTCCAGATGACTATCAGGAAAATACATTGAAAGCATATTATACCACCAAGAACTCTGAAAAGGTTTTCCCTTAAGAGTATCTCGAAGTAGGTTTCAAGGGGAGGAAAACAACGTACAAGAGAATAACCTTGGTGCAGAGGCAAGGTGAGGCAACCTCCAGATGACTAAGGAGATCTTATTCATCCCCAATCCACCATTACCAAGACAACATCAAAGAAACTGTATTATATGAGAGCAAATTTTCATAATGAAAAATCTACACAAACCTCAGGACCATGCTATTTTAACAGCATCAACCACTGGCAGGATTGTTTCTCTTGGTTGAAGAGTCATGGTCAGAGACTATAATTAGGAGCACACAAACCAGAAACCAATTTCACAATGCTCCCTATCTTTATCAAAGGGTTAGTCCTCCAGTAACAAACAACTATTGAACAAGGCTGCAAAGAATTTTAGGAAAATATATATTATATCTAAAGTTGAATCAGAAATCTAGGTTGGGTTGTTGGGTGGGTTTGTTTTTTTTTAAAAAGGTGTGCTTCAACTAAACTGGTAAGATGATAAGACAGGGACTACTTCTTGATATCATCACCAAACAGATATACATAGCTTTGCAAGAACATGTTCCAGAACAGACAGTGTCATCTCAGCAAAGGCTTTTTTCACACAGGCCTGACAAACCAGGACAGACAGCCGTGATCCCGTATCAGCACAGTAGCCAGGCTGATCTAGATCAGGTTCAGTTAACCTGGTATTGCAGTTCAGTCACAGGCTGCAGCCAGTGTTACAAGAGGCTCTCCACAGCCTAAAAGATCAACAGCACCATTCACTCAAACAGGTATTCCTCGAGTTTATAAAATACACAGTAAAACAAGAGGGGAAGACAAAAGCCATCTACATAAATGCAAGGTTTTGTTGCAGGAGCTAGATAACAGCTGCTGAGAACTACTCTGGCTGCTGCTCTTCCCATCACTTCTTGTTTGACTGTAGTGTGCCATCCAACCAACCTAATGTGCTTCAAAAGTAGCTCTCATTTCACTGATCAAATACATATAAAATAAGCCACCTGCCATGTGAGAAAATGACTAACATTTGTATCTTTTAAGCTGTTTGCTTCACCACTAAAGAAACTTTTGAACACAGTAGTATTGGTGTTTGCTAAAAGAAACTTGGTTTTAAAAACAGGATTTAAAAGCCTTAAGAAAACACACAAGGAAATGATAAAGACCAAAGGTAAATCTGAGTAACTTACTGCTGCTGCAGCCTCCTCTCCACCTACATAGATAGAAGAAGCAATCTCCATCACGGACAAGTTCGTGGGAGCATCTGTAGTAGATGACGATCTGGGCCGACCTGATTGAGTATCTTGGCCAGACCTCCTGTTGATCTGCGGGCTTCCTTTCGGGGCATCTGCCTTGCCCCACCTGCTGTGCAGGCTCGTCCCTCTCTTCATTTTAGGTGGCACTCTGATCTGCTGGAGCACACGGTTCAGAGCTGTGGGGTGGGTGGAGACACCATCAATTTCAGCACAGACGCTTTGGCTTTCCAGATCCATGTCAGGCTCCAGATCAGCCTGAGCTTGCTGAATATCATGCGGAGAAACTGAGGACCTCCTGCGCTGATGCTGAAAAAGGTGCTTCAAGCCTTGACCAATCACATTAATGTTCTCCAAAGCATTATGCGTTATTTTTGATAATTTTTGCTCGGATTCATGTTGCCTTTTGGTCTCTTGATCTTGGGATTTGCCTCCAGGATCAGGGTCGTCACACAACTGTTCAGTGCTAGAGGGCTCCATTGGTGACACCCAACAGGTTTATTTCACTATTCATATATAATTATGTCCCCTGTCTTTGAAAGGCGTGTGTTTGTAAAATGCCAAGATTGTCAGCCAATTAGGTGTGCAATTGCTTCACGAGTGACTACACATGCAGCTGTGCCACGGTGATCTCATGCTTATCTAATGTTAAACAAAAGAGTCATTGTTATACATCCATGCAGAAAGTAGTGGGTTAAAAAATCCAAAGCGGAAAACATGCCATTAACAAAACAATATGTATCAGTTTTCCAAGCATCCCTCCATGTGGTATTAGTTGCATCTAGGCTGTATGCAGAAGCCAAAGCTTGTATGAGACAAGTCATTCATCACCTGGGGGAAGAAGCCCAGCACAAAGGGTACAGGAAAGCAAGAAGGTAAAAAAAGCTGTTCAAAAGGGGGAGAAGCAAGGAGAAATGAGTGGGGTTTTGTTCTTTAAGAACAAGCCCACAAAAATATTTAACAGAGCATGAAGTTAAACTTCTGAAGGGCATGCTAGTCTCTTTGGTAGAACTTATTTTGTTCCTTGACAAAGATCTGGTATTTCGTGCTTCAAATGTAACGTCTGCTCAGCCTACCTGATTTTCCTGTAGAATGCTTAACTTCGCAGTATTTAGCATATGCAAGAAAACAGAACACTTCCAAATCAGTTATGCATTTCCAAATAGTAAGAAATGGCTTATTACTGCCAGCATCCGCTGATGGCAGTGGAGACTAGATGTGAAAATCTGTCTTCAGCAGGAACAGGCAAGTGAAATGGTTTCAACTGGCACAGTCTTGTCCATAATTCTCAGAAAAAACAAAATTGTCTTTTTAAAAGTAGAATAAGCAACCAATCTGAACAGGAGCAGCACCGTGTATGTATAGCTCAGTCTCTAGCAGAGAGGAAACACGCAGCTTTTCTCCCAGAGAGCTCAACCTTCCTGTCATCTGAGCTCAGGCAAGAGCTGGTTATAGGACGCTGCAGCTGAGTACTCAGATAGCAACTCACTATGGGAGAAGTACAGCAAAGGAATGAGGAAGGAAGGAAGGAAGGAAGGAAGGACACATTATCTGAAAGAGTTTCACATCAGCACCATGAGATCACATGCTCGGAAGCTGATCATTGTTTTCTTGCAGGAGAAAGCTTTGATTAGGCTTCTCTAAATACAGAAACCAGACCATAGGGTTCTACCTCAATTTTGGCAGAAAGCAGCCTGGGCTTTAAATAAAATACAAATAAAAACAGCAACAAAATTTCATTTGAAATGCAACATATGTTTGGCATTTGAAAGCATTCTTTCTTATCTTAAAACAGCTGCAGAAGCACAATGCATTGAGGTTACCATTAGAGCACTCAATTTTTGCATCTGAAACCTGACAGAACGGGTTAAACAGATATTCCAAAATGCTTTACAAATTGGCATCCAAAAATACCAGAAGAGCTGCCTCACGCTCTTTTTCAAATGTCATTGCTATCAGCTGGAGGCAAGATGCAATTCTGTACTTACAGAAAGCAAAACGCTGGAGTCATATGGGATTTTCTCTCAGTACTCTGAACATGCTACAACCACCGAGTGTAAATACATTGGCCAGTTGGACATTGAATGCAAAGTAATAAACTACATACCAGAAAATACAATGTATTTACCAATTCATGCAGAAATTGTGCGGCAGAATCAAGTATGTAAAAATAAAAGGTTAGCTGTGCATTTTTTAACAGTTTCTTAACCTGCTTCAAGTGCCTTCATGAGCAGTGTCATGCTGTGACTTTTGAGCTCAATTTGTCTTTTTTCTTGTGCAATAGGTTTTCCAGAAAGTTGAATTGCAGGTTTCCAGCCAATTTAATTTGGTGGGAAAAGAGAAAACTAGAGATTGCCCTTTTCATCCAACAATGGATCAGTGAACAAACCTCACTGTCCCCAAATTATTAGGCATGTAAAACACAAATCTGACAGTTGACCCATAACCGCCTTTTTTATTTTAGCCAATTCCCTCAGTATTCATTTTTCAGCCAGGACTCATGAAGAACTGTGATTCTTATCAAAGATGCCCAATACACCTTCTAACCAGTACATTTGTGATCTCCTGCATGCTTCCTATCCAGATTACCACTGGTAATACTGCTGATCTGAAAGAACACCATTTCAGTCTACCTACAGTTCCATGCATTACCTTCTGGAAAGCATTACCCTTCTTAAATTAGCTCTGTGTCAATTTATAGACCTGAAACAAGTTAGCCAACAGTGAGCTCACAAACATGTCACTACTACCCCTGAAACTACACTGAGCTTTCTCTCCAAGGCCTTGTGGTCTTCTTACTACTTGTGTTTCCATGTGATGAGTCTGTTGTGAGCCTGAAATGAGCTTTTCAAATTGCACATCTGGTATGAAGATTCTTGAAACTACTTATTTGTCCTAGCACCTGCTTTTGGGGCAAAAGCTACTCATAAATTTGAAGAATTGTCAATCAGCAGAATTAATCAGCATTAGGATTCAAGTTTTGTACTTCCCTCCCCCCAAAAAAACCCAAAAACACCATTATATTCCATTTGAGAGAGGAAACAAAGTACTTTATAGCATAAAGTTCAAAACCATGTGTTTCTTAGTCATACAAGAGTACGATACAGAGGGACAAAATGCACAATTTCATACAGTCACACTGAGCAGATGTTGTAATATTATTACACCCCAAGAATATTGCCCTTCATTGTGCAGTCATTTCACATGAGCACACGGAAACAAAACAGTTCAAAAGGAGAAACTGGCAAAAACAATATTAGAGAACTGTGAATATATAAACTAGTACTTGCCTCCATCACTTGCCCTTTAGCATGGCTGACATACAGCAGTCCCTCCACTGAACAAAACTGCAAAAGAAATTAGGTATGAGATGCAGTTCTTGGACATGGGAGGAAAGTTTTACACAAACAAAGTGAGCATGGTTCCATCCTCATCCTCCTCCCCCCTCCTCCTCCCAACATTTAAATGCAGGTGCCTCTGGAAGATGGGCTATTTTAGACTCTTTCAAATAACTGGAGAGATACAAATATACTTGAAATTATAACTAAATCTTACAGAGTTAATCAAGAAGTTCTTATTGAAGGAACCCTTTCTTTTGGGGTTTACAGCCACCAATATATGATGAAAGCCCAGGTAGGTTTCAGGGTTCCAGCCTACAAGGTCACACTGGCCCACACAGTTTTTATTTTCTCCTCCTACTCAGTCATCAGTTCTGCACATAGGTCAAACAGCTTGCTCATGTTCACCTGGAGCTCACCTACCAGGACACAAGAACTGAGAGCACTTGAGACATGAGCATCTTCCAGTCCATTCCTCAGGGAAGCCTGTGGCACCTTAGGCTGAGCTGCCCCTGCACTAACAGCACCCTCTGGCCAAGGGCAAATGAAACCAACCCCTGTGCAGGACAGCACCCCCACAATAGCAGACCCCCCACACTGAGCCAGCCTTGTGGGGACACAGCCATGGACCCACTCAGGGCCCCTGGCACTGAACGAGCATGAAGGACTCGGAGACCCAAGCTCAACCAAGGCAGAGCACCTGGCCGAGGATGTCATCCCGGCTTCGCTCTCCTCCCCTAGATGGGGAACAGAGAATTTTAAGGGCACGTGGATGATCTGTCCAACGTTTCTGCACCAAGCCCAAAGCAAGGCCAGATCCTGGCTAGAAGAACACAGCAGAGGACAACAGAGAGGACAGCAGAGAGCAGATACAACAACTGCATTTCTCAGGATCAACAGCCAGACTCTAACACTATTCTGAAACACAAAGGTGAACAGTTACTCAACTAGCTCTTGAAAACGGGGACACAAGCTTCGCAGTACATTAACACTCAGAATACTACAAGCCTCTGTACAGCTGAGCAATTTTACCATTTTATTACATGCCAGATTCCCACCTCCAAGACAGCAGAGATAAAGAGAACATTACTCAGAACCACTGGAGTGGGATGCTAGGATATGGAGAACGGGATGACAGCAGATATGAAGAACTTAGAAAAATGAATGAAGGCATTTTTTCAAAGATGTCAACATAGAAGACACCACACTTCTGCAACAGGGTGAGTGGAGAACGAGGCCAAGAGCCAGAGGTATTGTGAGCGTACGAGGTGCCACCAACATCACTTCAGAGCCTTTCTACTTTTTCCTGAGCTTTGCAAAGCTACTGCACTGGGCTAATCAAAATTCCTGCCCTTTCCTGTAGTTATGAAGAGTAGACATAGCCTTTTTTTTTTTGCATATATAATGGCCCTATTGCAGAGCTGTTTACTCAGCACAAATGCATCAGCTTAATGAATTCCCCTTCAAAACCACAGTTCTCTCTAAGTAAACTCTGAAGTTACCATTGAAACCCAGCTACGAGCTGACTTAACTGCAACTGCAGTACTTGTTACAACAGTACAGAACTGTAGAACTAGGGAAGAAAAAGATAATTTTCAACAAAAGAAAAAGATCTTGCCTTTCTGTAGAATGTTTCAAATACCTATTATTTACACGCTGTATTTGAACATCTCCAAATCTTAATGTCCATGTTGAAGTCCAATTACCTAAGGAACCCTTATATTCCATAAACAGCTCAGTTTAATAGCTCATAGTGGAGCTGTAGTCCACAATTAGCAGGGATTTTAGGTACGAGATGCTTGCCATTCCTTCTGTTTGGCGAAAGAAAACCAATTTTTAGTTGCTTCAGGTTACGAATCATTCCCATTAAGAAATAGCCCAGCTTAGTCTGAGAAATCCCACATTATTTTCAGAAATTCATCCCAAAACAGATTCTGTATCTAGGAAAAGAGTTTAGTAACAAAAAAACTACAGGGGCAGCAGTCACACACTGGAAAACCATGGGAAAATTACAGGAACTGGGAACCCTAGAAATTATTTGTATCTGCAGGAGGATTAAGATATTTTAAAAGCATCATTGTTCAGCAGCAAGTAGCAGCAGAGCAAGTAAGGAGAGAAAGCTCCGGGTGTGCACAGCTAAGCCTGTCAGAAAGAAGAACTCAAAAGAAACTGGAATGGGTGTAAGATTCAAGAGGACTGCAGCTTGGAAAACATTCAAGGAGGAAGACAACAGTGAGAGTAAGTAATTTGACCCCCCAAAAGCAATTGGATAGTAACACAAATACCCAATACCCGGAAAAACAGGTACATTTAGCCATTATAACAGATATTTTTAGCTATTATAACAATTTTTTAAAAGTCTGGAGAGCTGGGCAAGAATACAAGAAAAAGGCCTACAAGAAATAATTAATGCAAAGAACACAAGAAAGATGGCATAACATGGGGGGAAAATCAACAGAAAACAGTACTACTGTTAATGGAAAGGATAAGTGTAGTTTTCAAGACATAATTCTTCTTCCTTCTCCAAAATTCACCCAAGAAAACATTTACTGGAGGTAGACAGCAGACAAAGGACCCCAACTGGCCACAACCCTGACACTGACAATACTCTATGCAAGAACACAAATGGAGTATGACTGCAAAAGCAAACAGAGGCAAAACCAGAAAGACCCAGCATATTAAATATTGCAGCTGGGAGATGGGGGGTGTGTGTGTGTGAAACATCTTCAGGTATGTGTAAAACAAGTCAAGCTTCTGCTGAAGTTCTGCATCTGAGATTTTAGAAAAGGGGAACAGCCTGAATCCAGCTACTTCTGATGAAACTGGAAGGAATGGCAGGAGGCATTTGCAGGAATTCACTCCATTAATCCACAAGGCTCTGCAAAAGAAGTCCACACCATCCAGTACATTGAGAAAGGGTGCACCAGATGGACAGAAACTGCCACTTTAATAGGAACAAGGGTCACAGGGCAAAGCAAGAGACCTACAGCCTGGTTTTTAACCCACCTGTAGTGTGTTACACAGCAAACCCAACATTGTAGAACAGGTTTTACCAATTTCTGCCTAATAATTTCCCTAAACCCTCCAACCTACTCCCAACTTACCAAGAAGTCAAGAAGGAAGTCAGCTGAATGATGCCATCTCTGCTACCCTTGCTGTCTCTTCTCACACCACAGATTCAGCAGGAACAGAATCTGGTGGATAAAGAACAGGCTGAGAGAATGGAAATCCTGGGCTAAACCAGCTTTGTCAGTCTTGTCAGAAGACCTTGAGCAAGTCAGCCTCTGTGCCTAATGTTTGCCCATACACAATGTATGAACAACCCAGCCAGCTGAGAAAAGGAGTAACACTGAGGGTAATACCAGTGAAGGTGCTCTACTAAAACACTTCATAATGAAGCAAAACACTTGTATTCCTTTGAAGGGAAGGTGTACAGATATCCATTAAGAATAACTCAAGCTCAGAGTGCCAAGCTGATGAATTTTAGAAAGATAGCCAACTGTATTCTTTAGGTAAAAGGATTAAGTCAACTGACACATGCACTATAATTGAATTCATTTATTAATGCCATAATTTACACAATGAACCAGTTGTATGAACACCAAAGAACACAAAAACTCACAGCAGCACATGGTTAATAATGTAAGAGAGGCTGGTAGAGAACTTACGTATGAATTACACAACCATCACCAAGGAGCAACTCTAAGATTTTTAAGATATTCAGGGACAAAACCAGCACTAAGTCTAAGCCCATACAAAACATGAGACATACAATCTCCCTCCTAGAATCCTCACAAGCCTAAAGTACACCTACACAGTCTGTCCACTCATTTGTTAAGAGTGTGCTGCATGTGACACATCGACAAATGGTCATTTCAAGGGGTTTGTCAGCAGAAGATTCATGCTTTGGCACACCAAAACGTATTTACCATTTCTACCACTCCATCCATTAACAGTTCACATGCTTGTATGCACAAGGGCAGCATGTTCAGAGAGATACCAGAAGGTGATTTTTCAACATCAGCCTCTTCTCAAATCCATATCCTATTGAAACAGCTCCTCAGTGCTGCTGCCTTCTGATGTACCAGTGTACACTACCGTACCTGGAACCTACCAAAACCTCTTTAAAACGACCCTTTCCTGGAAAAGGCTACTTGCATGAAACCAACAAAACCAGTGCTTCAAGAGAGATAAATAAAGATTAAAGAAAGGTTTAACTGGAGCCTTCCAGTTTGCCAACATTTGCAATTACATTCTTCACATGCATTTTCTATGAAAGTTTTTGTGCACATACCTAAGTTCAGTGGCAACACAAAGTGCAGCCTGCAGGCATTTTAGAGGAAAACCAAATTTGATGGAGCTGGGTATACACAAAGAATTCTTATACAGACCATCTGTTTTACCAGACACAAGAGGGAACTTGCCCATTAGCAAGTCTTTCTTTCTAACCAGATGGATTAAAAAGTAGTAGTTTTACACTGCATCCACCACAAGCATGTGTCCTGTGGAAGACGTTACACAAGGCTGCAATTTACAACTGCGCAATTCACCACCAGCTGACTTCCACTTGATTCAGTGATGGGTTTCAGAAGAGCCACATCCTCACCGACCCATCTTCGACAGCAAATTCAAAAATAGCCAAACTGCAGCACTGCCTCATGAACATCTCTGCTTTCTGCTAACAGGAAAAAAGCTTTAACCACATTCACATGCCCAACCAAGCAAGTGCACTGCATATCCTGGATCCAGTGCTCCACTGGAGGAGGACATCTAAAGGGCCCATCTCCAGGTTCAAGCACGGAACCAAGGCTGGCCTTCCACAATGTGAGTAGTACATCAGAAACAGCAATTCAAAGAATTTCCAACCTCTCTTGCCCCCTGTGGCTCATTTGCAGTCCCACAGCATGGCACCCACATGCGAGCTGCTGCAAGCACAGCTGCTTGTGGGGCTGTGACGAGAGCCAAAACAAAAAATAACTCAGCCTGGAAGGAAAATGGGCCTGAGGTTA